TTGGCGGTGGCGAGGCGCGGGAAGGCGCGCTGCAGCAGCGGCAGCAGCGCCGGCCCGGCCAGCGGCGCCGCCTCGCTCACCGCCAGTAGGCAGCGGCGCAGGCCCACGGTGGTGACGCGCGAGCGCACGGCCGGCAGGTGGCGCGCCAGCCGCTCGGCCAGGTCGTCGCGCCGAGGCCGCGCTCCCTCCGGCAGCGTCACGCAGAAGGTGGTGTTGTCCAGCTCAAGCTCGCGCAGCCCGGCATGTTGCAGCAGGCTGACGGCCGCCCGCAGCGAGTGCTCCCACTGGCAGACCCGGCAGACGTCAAACAAACCAACAATCAGCGAGTGCTCCCACTGGCAGACCCGGCAGACGTCAAACAAACCAACAATCAGCGAGTGCTCCCACTGACCGACCCGGCAGACGTCAAACAAACCAACAATCAGCGAGTGCTCCCACTGGCAGACCCGGCAGACGTCAAACAAACCAACAATCAGCAAGTGCTCCCACTGGCCGACCCGGCAGACGTCAAACAAACCAACAATCAGCGAGTGCTCCCACTGACCGACCCGGCAGACGTCAAACAAACCAACAATCAGCGAGTGCTCCCACTGGCCGACCCGGCAGACGTCAAACAAACCAACAATCAGCGAGTGCTCCCACTGGCAGACCCGGCAGACGTCAAACAAACCAACAATCAGCAAGTGCTCCCACTGACTGACCCGGCAGACGTCAAACAAACCAACAATCAGCGAGTGCTCCCACTGGCAGACCCGGCAGACGTCAAACAAAATAACAATCAGCGAGTGCTCCCACTGGCAGACCCGGCAGACGTCAAACAAACCAACAATCAGCGAGTGCTCCCACTGACCGACCAGGCAGACGTCAAACAAAATAACAATCAGCGAGTGCTCCCACTGGCCGACCCGGCAGACGTCAAACAAACCAACCATCAGAGAGTGCTCCCACTGACCGACCAGGCAGACGTCAAACAAAATAACAATCAGCGAGTGCTCCCACTGGCCGACCCGGCAAACGTCAAACAAACCAACAATCAGCGAGTGCTCCCACTGGCCGACCCGGCAGACGTCAAACAAACCAACAATCAGAGAGTGCTCCCACTGGCCGACACGGCAGACGTCACACAAAATAACAATCAGCGAGTGCTCCCACTGGCCGACCCGGCAGACGTCAAACAAAACAACAATCATTGTTTGTCATATAGCACGTAAAAGCCGTGTAACAGACATTCTAAAGGATGTTCTTGTGAGTCCTGTTCCGCCGTAGCATGGACATGGAGCGGGCGTGAACCTGACGGCTCCCACTGACAGCGATGCAATCAGCATCATCACCATTCTCATGCACTGGGTACAAAACAAGACCAACCCCGCCAGATTCCATTGCTAAACTCTTCCCAGGTTGCCAGTCTTCCTGGCAGTGGACATCTCACTGTCCTGCACTGCAACGCGTGGTGACCCTCCGTCGAGACGCGGACCTTACCTCCAGCCTGAAGGTCCAGCTGGACAGATCGACCAGCATCAGCGACTGGCAGCACGCCAGCGACTTGCAGAGCAGGATGAACTCGGCGTCCTCGATCACCAGGCTGGTGGACGTCAGGTCGAGCAGCTGGAGCCGCGTGTTCTCCTGCAGCGCGAACAGCAGCGGCACCAGCTCGGTGGCGCGCGACACGTTCTCCACGGTGAGGTTGGTGAGGTGCGAGGCGGCGCGCAGGCTCTCGCCCAGACAGGCCAGGTCGGCCGCCGTCAGCCGACAGCGCGACAGCTTCAGCGAGGTCAACAGGCAGCCGGGCGAGCGGAGCGCGCAGAACAGTCGGTGGAAGCCGCCGACGTGCGCGGCCGCGTCGCAGATGGGCTCGCGGCCCAGGCGCAGCCGGTACGCCAGCTCCAGCTCGCCGGAGCCGACGGCGCCGCGGCCCAGGCTGTAGTTGCGCGTGAGGCTGGTGCCGCGCGGCCGCTCGCCGCCGCCGCCGCCGCCGGCCGCCAGCAGCCGCTGCTCTGAGCGGAAAAAGTCGACGGCACTGGTGAGCTGCGGCTCTGGCTGCCATACGCTCCTGAGTGTCAGTGCCGACAGCGGATGCGTGTGCAGAAGGTCGGCCAGCGCGCGCATCGAGCCGTCAAACGACACCAGGTGGTTGATGCAGAGTACGGCCACGCCGTGCGCACGCTGCAGTGCCGCGCACAGCTGCGCCATCTGTTCAGCCGACATGTCCAGGTCCAGCACCAGCTTGAGGCTGGCGGCGCGAGGCACGGCCGGCAGCGCCTCGCACAGCGCGTCCACGATCGGCTGGAAGCGGCCGAAGTCGCTGTCGTCGAGGTTCTGCAGCGCAACCTCCAGCTGTGCCAGCCGGTAGCGTGCCGCGGCGTCCGGGCGTAACAGCTGGCCCACGCAGCGGCCCATGCTGCGCAGCTCGTCGCCCGTCATGTCCGTGCCGAGCAGCGTGCACAGCTTGATGGAGCGCAGCCGCTTGGAGGCGACGCGCAGCAGCGGCTCCAGCTCCGGCGCCGGCGCCGCCGGCCGGAACACCACCTCCAGGCTCTCCTGGTGCGAGCTGACGCGCAGCACAGCCGCCCAGCTGTGCAGCTCGCCGGGCTGGTCCGTCTGCACCATCACGTGCTGCTGCGATGCCAGGCACACCGCCACCGCCTGCGTGGCCAGCCGCTCGTGGCCGGCCGCGCGCAGCAGGGTGAAGAGCGTGCGAGGCGGCAGACCGAGCGGACCCAGCAGCTCCAACGCCTGGTAGGCACGCCGCTGGCCGTCGTTGAGTAGCGTCACCAGGTAGCGCAGCATCACCATTACGCCGTGCGACGCCTTGGGCTGGCCGTCCAGCCGCTCCAGGTGCGTCAGCACAGGCGCCATCTGCTCGCGAAGCGCGCGCTGGTCGGGCAGCGAAGAGAGGTACAGCGCGGCCAGGTAGTCGGTGAAGGTGCGGTGGAGCGGCTGATAGATGTCGCGCTTCTGCACCTTGGACACGCTGACGACGCGCGTCAGAAAGCCCCACTCGAACACCTCGCGGTCAGGAACATGGTTGACAATCTCCTGCTCAGTGTAGAAGACGCGTCCCTCCAGGCACAGCTGGACAGCAATCTTGCCAAACTGGCGCAGCAGGCAGAGACAGCGCGGCGGCAGGGCACCGGCCTCGGGCCTCTCACCGCGCCGCATCAGACTCCTCCGGATCAGGCAGTCGAACAACGTTTGGTAGAGCAGCGCCTCGCTCTCAGGGAAGGCGCCGTCGCAGTCTTCGAACACGACGCAGAGCAGCAGACAGAGAAGCGGGCAGCGGGCCAGCTCGCGCAGCGCCGGCCGCCGGCGCAGCTCGGCTTCCAGGCCGGCCACGCCCGCCGGTCGCTGCACGCAGCCGAAATACTGGCGCACGTAGCGGCCCACGTCGGGCCGTTCGAAGCCCTGGATGACGAGGCGCCGGTGCACCCAGGGCAGCGCGTCGGCCACGTGGCTGGGACGCGACGTCACCAGCACCGTGCTGTTGAGGAAGAGCCGGCCGGCCAGCAGCTCAGCCACGGCCGGCCGCTGCTCGTCGCGCAGCTCGTCCAGCCCGTCCAGTAGGAAGAGCACGCGGTCCTCGTGCTCTGCTAGGTACTGCCAGAGTTGCTCCATGCGGTCGCGACCGACGATGTGGCGCGGCAGCAGCTCGTGGTGCAGGAAGTTATACAGCGAGCCGCTGAACTCCCACAGCGGGATCAGGAACGCGAACTGCGGCGGACGGAACAGCGCTCACACGTGCCCGACATATCCAGCCAATTGTACAACAGATCAACAAAACAATCTACATGGACCCATTACCATTCACAACCATCGTGCTTACGAACCACGCGACAGTGTCTGCATTTTGTCAGTCCGATGGACTGATCCATTGAGGGAGTGACAAAGGCCCTTTATTATGATCGAACCCCAGCTGTCTGTTGATCTCACAGTACTTGAAAACAAAACCAGTCATAACTGTTTTGGCGCTGGCATACCGGAACGTCTCTGGTCCTCTTTCGGCAACAGCTGGCTATTCATCCCCAAAGTTCAAAGCCATGGGCTGGCGCCGCAGTGCACCGTCTGGACAAGTCCCCCCGAGCGAGGCGCGGCGCCACCGGCGGCGGGCACCGGGGCGCGGTCGGCCGACTGACCTGGAAGCCGGAGAGGTAGGAGGACGGCCGGTCGGTGGCCCAGTCGTGCAGCAGCTTCAGCGCCAGCGTGCTCTTGCCAAAGCCGGGCTCGCCCTCCACGAGGATGCGGCGCGGCCGGGCCGGCACGCCAGCCTCGTGCGCCTGCCGGACACGGGACACATCGCTCAGCACACCCCCGGCCGGAACGGCAAGGGCCGACGCCGGGGCCGGCGCCGGCTGGCCGAGTCACACCAGCTGTGTACACTCCAGGCAGGGAGCAGTTCTCCACTGGGCCTGGGGCCAACAAAGGCCACAGCGGTCGGGGACCATCGCCGTATCCTGGCCGGTAGACTGGAACGTTGCGAGAGTGCACAGCTCGTGTTAAACGAGTCTGTAGGTAAGGGGGCGACCTGTTACGCCCTCGTAGGATAACGCGTATCGCCGCTCTTACGCAGGTAGAGAGCACAGCTGACCTGATTAAGGTGCTGCACCTGGTCAGGATGTGGTGTTGTTTACTGTGAGCGCTGTCCGCACCTGGTCATGGCCAGGATCAGAGAATATCGGTACCACTAGACAGAGGCTCTGATCAGTCAATGGTAAGGGAGAGCGTCATCATCAGTGAAAGGGGTTGTTCACTGCCAGAAGTCCGATAATTTTGTCCAAATCAATGGCGACAAAGCCTGCCGACCTCCAGTGGTAAGAGCGCCCGTTGATCTTCAGCAGCGAAACAACATGCTCACCATCGACTGTGAGCAGCGGATCTACGCACCACTGGCGGCAGGAGGATCTGCTCACCGTCAGCGGAGCAAGGATCTGCTCACCGTCAGCGGCGGGAGGATCTGCTCACCGTCAGCAAGGCGAGGATCTGCTCACCGTCAGAGGAGCGAGAATCTGCTCCAGCTCCACCGGCTGGTACACCCGCTCGCCGCGTGCCGACATGGACGCCAGGCTGAGCGCGATGAAGTACTCCTGCAGTGGCAGTCGGAACTCGGGACACCACGGGATCGGCTGCAGCCGCGTCAGCGTGTCCAGGCAGCGCGTGCGCAGGTGCGACACGATGCGCCCGGTCAGCGCCGTCAGCGGGCTGCTGGCCGCCGGCGACGAGCCCTGCGCATACCCGGCGGCCGTCAGCGAGGTGCTCCCGTCAGAGGCCGCTGCTTCCACACTAAGAATCATCGCGCCTCAGTTGCATCAATTACATCAGCTAGACTGCGGTAATAATGGTTTCGGTACTGGAATGCGCAGTAGAGCAAGCAGGCGCCATGCATTTTTGCTTTTCACCACAAAATACATTTCATCAAGCTCCAAAGAATCATACAAATAACTTCATTTACAAAGAATGACGCTTACGCCCGTTTGCCTTTGGTTCGTAGCATTATCCCAACTACCACACGTCACAAACATCGCCAGCCTCCGACCGCACCACCAACCAGGCCCGCCGCGCGCCCGTCCCGCCCGTGCAGGCCCACCGGCGCCGGCGCCGCCGACCGACCTTGTCGAGGTCGTCGGGCGGCGACGGGTAGCGCGGCGGCGACGGTTGCCCGGCCAGCTGCACTTTGATGACGTTGCCGATGACCACATCGCTGCTGCCGGTAACGCGGACGTCTCCGACGTAGCTGGGCGGCCCGACGGCGGCCAGCACGTCCTGCAGCAGACTGGGCAGCTCGCGCTCCGGCGCCGGTCGCGTCTCGACGGCGCCGCCGGCCAGCGGGCTCGCAGTCGGGTACGCACCCGGCACGGCGCCGTTGGTGTGGCGGCCGGCCGGCGCCGCCGACCGGCCGTGGCATGGCGTGTCACACTCCTGTGTCTGGGCGCTGCTCTGGTCGCTGTAGCCGCTGTCCGGCGCCTGCGAGACAACATTCACTGTGGTCAGTGCTGACTGGGCAACAGCCACTGTTGGCTGTGGCGATCAGATAACAATCGCTGCGGCCGCCAGGGGCGTGGGAGCGACCAACAATAGTCACTGTAGTTACCTGCAGGAGCATGGCAGCGAGCAAACGACTACCACTAGTACCAACATCCGCCACGGAACAATCCCTGGGGCCAACGCCGACCAGAAGCCATGTTTCAAATCGGTGCCCCGGGAGTGACCAGACGGCGGATGGCGTGGTCTGCGTTGCCATGACAACAGTCGCTGGCAGCCGTCGTCTGGTGCCAATCAGTGACCAAACGTCTGATAAGCCGTTCGGTCTGCCGCAGACGCGTCACCACCAGCGAACACCGGCATTGGACGTTGAACTCTGCACGTCCCATGGTACACACACTGTCTGATTGCCAATTGGTGACCGGGCGCCCGCGACGCATTCGCGGCGGCGTTTTAATTCCCCTGGCAGCAGTGCCAGAACAGTGATGTCCGGGACACTGGTGGCCCGGACGAAAACGGACAACAGCGCCCAGGACAAGTAGCTGGGATGGAATACCCAGGACAACAGTGCCTGGGATAGCAGTGACTGGGACAACAGTGACTGGGAAAGCAAGGCCTATGACAACAGAGCCTGGGAAAGCAGTGACTGGGACAGCAAGGCCTAGGACAACAGTGCCTGGGACAACAGTGACTGGGACAGCTGCAGCGTCCTGACCAGCAATACCCAGTCCATCAGTGCCCAGGTGGGCAGTGCGCACCTGACCAAGGCCGTTGTGGACGGGCACGGCGTCGCTGACGGTGGAGACCGGGTCAGAGTCGGGCTGCGAAGGGACCGGCCAGTCCGGCTGGCCAGCCTCCTCCTCTTCACAGGCCGACCAGCTGCCGGCCTCATCCAGTAGGTTGTTGACGCTGATCTCGTCGGCGAATGGGCCGCGACCGACGGCCGCGTCCTCTGACGACTCAGAGTACCAGCTGTGCAGCCGCTGCGGCGCCCGGCATACCGGCAGCGCCCGCTGCTGTGCCACACACGGTGATGAACGTGAGAGTGGCAAGCAGGGCTCTCCAGGGCACGCATGTCACACTGTCAGCAGCTGGTGCCAGCTCGGACATATACCACAGGCTGAGAGAGCACCAGGAAAGCTAACCACACAGGTAAAAATGCAGCTGCAGGGGAAAACAAGTCTGTTCTCAGGACACAATGCTGACAGTGCTGACAAACTGACCAAGCTGAACATCATTAGCAACTGAAACCTGAAAGTGGTGCTGGCTTTTCCTATCTGGCTTTGGCCCAGGCAGTTCAGGTAGCAGATGTGCTTGCTTGCTATTTCACACACAAATATGTACAAGCAAACTTCTATATGTGATGGTCAAATGCATGTATACATGGCTCCACTGATTGCTAGAGAACACTTATGAACCCACATTACCTGTGAGGACTCATCTGGCACCTGTTCATCAATATATGGGAAGTCCATCATACTGTGCATGCAGCTCCATTCTTCAGAAACATCTGGAAACATTGAGAACATGTTGTCCATGCTTTCAATTGTGCAGTGATACATGTCAAGGACAAATCAAATCCAAACACATTTTTTGGCATCCCCAGGCAGGCACATTGATGTTCTAGTATGTGTTTTTGTCTTTGTTTTCTATGATCTAGTGTGTTTTTCATGGTCATGACCAAAACTCACCATGAGACTTTCCCTGATGACCTTTGTGAGACCTTTATGACCTAGCATGTTTTTCATGGTTATGACCAAAACTCACTTGATGGAAATATATCACACAAATCATAACACAAAATTTCCAGTATGACCAACCATCCTGCCACTATGCAAAAGCCAACCCTATTTTCCAAACTCAACAAATTGCAGAAGGAAGATGATTGTGCTACATGCATTAGCAAAAAATCAGATGAAAGTGAATAAAAGTGAATTATTTCATTAAATGCTGGTAGTGAAGTTCCAAGTGAAAAGCTGACCATACTGACAAGATACATGGTTACATATATGTATATATATGTGTATATATATATATATATATATATATATATATAATCAAATTGACTTTTGTTTACCTTCAGCAGTTTGGTTTCACTTGGTTCCAGTTTTGTCAACAGCACATTCAAAATGCATCAATTATGTAACTGAGACAGGCAATTAAAAACAGATTTGAAGGCAAAAATGCCTACTTTTATGAACAAATATTTCAATCAGGAGCATAGAGATGACCACACATGTAACTTCAATACTAAAACCACACACTTCCCTGCTTACCCATGGTGGAATGGGTGGATTCAACTAACTGTGACACTCACTATTTCTCCTGGCTGAGATGGCTTACTGTGAGACACAGCACCACTCAAGGTCAGATAATGCTGGAGAGCACAGACATTGCCCATCTGTGCAGAATATAAACATTTTGCCATGAAGTTCAGTAGTTGAACAATGCTTTCCCAACTCCATGGTGGGGCCATTGTAACAAGCCCAACCCAAGGCAGGCTCAATTCCTCGGAACTAATTTATCAAAATGCTTGGAATAAATTTAGAACTTAAAATTAGCTTTGGATAACAAATATTCATAAAAATGCTCAAATTTGATTACTGCTTTACCTGTCCTAAAAACAATAAATGATAACATCCACTACATTATTCACATAGCAGTAGCAGAGGTGAGACTTTACTTCTGCTATTGTTTCGATAGCAGATTTTGATACCTGCCGAAATATCAATCCAACTATATCTACATTCTCCGGGTTTTTCTTTGAGGAATAAGGCTATTACTATCGTCGTAACTATGTCACCTTGTACTTCTCGCACTGCAGCAGAAAACATGATCATATTGCCATCTCCGGGACACCCTAATGCAGATGCCACCTGAAACTCACGTAACACACCTTGAGCTCAGCCTGGATAAAGAACGCCGCGATTCCCACAGTCCGCCCACGGTTCTGCCGAAAGTGACGTGCACGCCAGCCGCTCCCGCCCCCACACAACGCGACGCGCCATTCACGGCAAGAAGGTGTGTTCGGTAACTACGTTCGTCAGTCTAGCACGTCCGTCAATCTAGCAGCAGATTGATGTCCAGTTGCCAGTTAGATATTCCCGGGGCGTCACGATCGCCTCAAAATTTGTTGTGCATGATCTTTCCGACGCGCTGGTTCCGAAAATCACCGTCTTTGGGGTGGGATCTTGCGTAATTTCCGAGTTAGAAGGCGCGTAACATCGCCAGATCGACGTTGCAGGGTGTTTCGATTGCCCCCAAATTTGGTGTACAGGGCCTCCTTTACACGCTGATTCCGAAAATCGCTGTCTTTGGGGTTGGATTCCGGGTAACTTCCGAGTTATACGGCGCGTAACACCCCAGTTGGATACTGCGGGGCGTCTCGAACTCGGAAGTTGCGTAAATCGGAAGTTGCGCGAAATCCCACCCCTAAGACTGTGATTTTCAGAATCAGCTTGTTCAGAAGGCCCTGCACACCAAATTTGAAGGCAATCGAGACACCCCGCAATATCCAACTGGGGTGTTACGCGCCTTGTAACTCGGAAGTTGCGCAAAATCCCACCCCAAACAGTGATTTTCGGAATCAGCGTTTCGAGAAGGTCGACGGACGTTCGGCAACTACAGAACGCCAGGGAAAGAACGTAACGTCATCTGACGTAAATGATTGTCATTGAGTTGACGCATACTGAGCGGTGCCGGCGAGACACACGGGTTTAGTGTCCTGTCTTTTCCACTTCTGCTACGTTCAATACAACACTGGAATCCATGCAGTCACGTTAAATAACTCTTCTGCGGGCCAATGCGAATCCTCTATTCTCCCTCGGCGGCCTACAGGCACTTCCAAGTGGAAAACTACTTCCGGCTGTAGGCCCGGCGAGAACTACGCTAAGCCGGCTCATGCATTACGGTGCAAAATCAAGGAGAGGGTATTTTAGAAGTCACGTTACGTTAAGCTGGCTCATTTTGTCCAGATAGATCATGGCAAGTAGAGTAAACCACAGCGGTGGATACCTTAATTTCACCACCACACAGCACGCATTCAGTACCTTTGAACAATTGAACCTCCTCACCGGCCCTTCCGCCAAACTCCTCGGGTGCTGCGAGTCCTGTGCATGGTGTCCGTGACAGCGGTGGCCCTAACGAGTTGATTCTGAATTCACGACATATATCACATGAACCGTACCGTATATTCAAAAGAGCGTCCGCGCAACAGCGACCGACTTTTTCTTCTTTTCGACGGACTATATCCAGAAGCGGGGAGGGGGGGGGGGGGGTGAATTACCTCCGGCCACTTTCGGCTTGTCATGCCAAAAAAGTTGCGCTTAACCGTCTGATGCTGATGGCGCGAGGTAAGAGAGGGATTAATTGACGTTAGGCTACGTTAACCTGTCCTAGAAGATTTTAGCAAGAAGAGTCTGCGTCTATCTAATCCGGATAATCCCGCGCTTTTCTGGTAAATCATGCAGAAAACTTTTTAAATTGAACAATCCAATGCTACGAAGTGTAAATATTCAAAGAGGAAAGCGAGCAAACAGAGATATGCAAGAAGAGAATGGAGATTGAGCGAAAGACTATCGGGATTTGTGTAATCGTTGAGCGGTTATCTTGGTCTTCAGGACGCACGGCCGTTGCTGTTCCAGACACAAGGACACGACTGGTGGAGCCGTTTATTACAAATCATGTCGATGAACGCGCGGGGCGGATGATACTGCGATGCGGTGGCACTGCCGGGTGGCGGCCACACCTCCGCCTTCGCCCGGTCACATCCAGGCCGGCCCGGCCGTGACGTCACACGCCGGCTGGCTGGTCGGCGGCGGCGCCTCCGTCCTCACCGACTTCCATGGCCTGGTGGCCGGCCGCCGCGGACGGTGCCTCGTCGTCGCTGCTGTCCCGGTCGCCGCCCGGGTGCTGGGGTACGTGTCGGTCCGGCGCCGCCGCCCGGCCCGCCGCGCCCGGCGAGCGCCACGCCTGGCGACGGACACGGCCTCGTCAGGACGACGACCGACCAGGGCCAGGCCGGTCCGTCCCGTCCATCGGTCACGTGCGCGCCCGACCAGGGCCAGGCCGGTCCGTCCCGTCCATCGGTCACGTGCGCGCCCGACCAGGGCCAGGCCGGTCCGTCCCGTCCATCGGTCACGTGCGCCGGCGCGCACGTACGGCACGACATACCGTCACTGTTTCCAAGCACGTTTACTACCAATGGTTCGCAGGAGCCGCCGCTGCCCTCCCATGCCCTTCATGCTACGTGCAGTCTGGCCACTCCTCACGGCGATCATTCGAGAGAGATCACGCGGCACACGCCGTCGCACTCCCTCTCCATCCTCTGAACTCCCCCGGTGCCTGTCCCCTCAGACTCCACACACCCTCACATCTCCTTGTAGCCCCGACCTGCTGCTGATGATTCACATCCCCACGCCTCCCAGTATTCATGACTCTGACCCGCTATTTCCCCCTTGAGAAGTCCACACCCTCCTACACCTGTAAGTAGTCTTGACCCGCTACTGTTGTGTCACGGGGAGTCGTCTACACGCCCACCTGCGCCTCCAGGCACCCCTGACGTGCTGCTATCCTCCTGAGCTGAGGAGTCGATACCTTCCCACGTCCACCAGTACCCCTGACCCGTTGATATCCCCCTGAGGAGTCGATACTCTCCCACGTCCACCAGTACCCCTGAGTCGCTGCTATCCCCTGAAAGGTCGATACCCTCCCACGTCCGCCAGAAACCCTGACCTGTTGCTGCGCCTCTCCAGAGCCCATGCGTTGCATGTAGAGGTCATACACGAACTGCGCCATGTGGGGCATGTCGGTGGCGACCAAGGGCGGCGACTGCAGCGAAGCGTCCACCGGCCGCACCGTCGGGTACCGCTCAGCCGGACACAGCTGCAGCTGGGCCGGACGCTCGGCCAGCTGCGCATGCACACATGGTCAGACAGCACACTGCAGAAGGCGCAGCGTCCGGAGCAAAGAATACACTGCTTGCTAGCTTACAAGTTGTGCCAATGTAAATACTGAACTTGATATCCAATGCCTTTGTTTGCCAATGCAAGTTGTCTCAGCTGAGCTCACTAACGTCTTTCACGGCCCATGCTCGCGACAGCTGCAAACATATGCTTGCCGGCAAATACCCTCGTCATAGCGAGCGCTACCACCTGTTCGCGAGACGAAACCGTCGGTTAGAGCTCGGCTGGAACTGACAGCCCGCGACCCCCCCCCCCCCCCCCCCCGTCTCTCTATAGGAGCGGGCGGAGCTCACCAGACTGAAGGCCGGAGTCAGCTCGAAGCAGTTCTGGAAGAGCGCCAGTCGGGCGAACACGTAGAGGCCGAGTCGGGCGCGCGACATGGCCACCACCAGCCGGCGCACGTCTCGCAAGTGGCCCACCGCCTTGGTGCGCACCAGCGACAGCAGGATGTAGTCGTTCTGCTGGCCCTGGTACTTGTCCACAGTGTCCACCTACGTGGCGAACACGCGGCCTGCGTCAGCTCGAACGAGCGGGCCACACCGCCGACGCGCAGACGGCCGCGGAAGGCGGGAGGGCCGCGCGCCAACAACCGCGGAAGGGACAAGCGCCGATAGCCTCACAGGCGGGAGAGAGGAGCGCAGACGGCCGCGGAAGGCGGGAGAGAGGAGCGCAGACGGCCGCGAAAGGCGGGGGGGGGGGGGGGCGCGCGCCAACAACCGCGGAAGGGACAAGCACCGGTAGCCTCACAGGCGGGAGAGAGGAGCGCAGACGGCCGCGGACGAGGCAGGTCGGCCCAACCGTCCACGTGGATCTTCACATAGAAAGCCTTTTTGGCTAAAACATTTATGAGCATGTCATGGAAGAAGAAATTTGCTGCCCGAATGATGAAACGTCACTGAAATCATGAAACTCTGAGATCGACGAGCGGCAAATTGTCGCAATAAATGCATGATTGTACCAAAATCTCACGCAGGATGATGCATTGCAAACGAGTGCATTATTATGCACAATCGCACGGCACACGCAAGCCCCACATTTCGGAGGTACAACCGGTGTTACGGTAATAATAATGCTCTGTCAACGGGACGATCGTCACCTTGCAGGGCTGGCCCATGACGGGGTTGTTGGCGCAGCGCTGGTTGATGACGTCACGGATCAGCATCTTCTGGCCGTTGTAGGTGGTCAAGATGGAGATCTTGTCGGCCGGGTACCCCAGCAGGCGCATGTACATGTACACGGCCACCACATACTCGGCCTCGGCCAGGTTCTGTCGACGGCCGACAAGATGGCGGCGTCAGAACGGTGGCCGTGACGTCACCGACCACAGACGTGACCGGGTGGAGGGCGACCGGATGGTGAGCCGAGCCAGGCGTGCGCGGGTCAGGTACCCCTCCCCCTCCACACACACGCAGACAGAGCAGCACGCGCAGGGGCGGGCAGCGAGGGTCGCCGCGCATGTCCGGTAGCCATCGCAGTACCCCACATCCATACAGAGCCAACAGACAGCACGGGACGCCGGCCGACGCCGCTCCGCCGCGCTGGCCGTCCGTGGCGCGGTATCCCCCACGCCGAGCTGGGAGGGAGCGCGCGACGCCCGACCCCACACCAGCAGCCGCACCTGGAAGAAGTACGGGTTGGGCTCGCTCTCGCCCACGCCGTTGAAGTCGTCCACGTTGACCACCTGGTAGTCGAAGCGGAAGCCGGCGTTGGCGCGCTGGTATTCGGCCCGCTGCTGGACGTGCGGCAGGTCGCCCAGCACCGTGTACCGCCACTTGTAGAGCGCGCAGATGCTGCAACAGGGCGCGACGGTCCCAGGCGGTGACGGCAGAGCAGCGGAGGCAGCGAGGGGGAGGGGGCATCGCCAGGAGATAACGCCACTGATGCTGCAACCCGTAAATACAATGCCCCACTAATGCCTCTGACAGTGGGAAACACCATATGAAAGTAAGAGGTGGTCACAGACGTAATCTTCGTGCTTTCGGCGTCACGTGCAGCTGCTAAGCACACACTGCTTGTCAATTCTTCACAAAAACAGAGCTTGGCAGACACACACACACACACACACACACACGCACGCACGCACGCACGCACGCACGCACGCACGCACGCACGCACGCACGCACGC